TTTCGATATGTGACCCCGTTTGACCTCGGCAGGTCAAAATGTGCAAATAAACGACACCCAATACGTCACAGCCCGGATTCAGCCCAGATTCGGGACACCTCCGATCAAGCTGAAACTCGCACACAATGTAGGCCATGACATGCCCAATCCACAGTCCAAGTCAATCGGTGGCACTCCCAGCCGTTTGACCTACAGAGGTCAGCAAAGGTCACGTGGCCCAAATTTGCACAGCAGTTTGTGGCCCACCCAGTAGAGCTAGAGCGCTAAAAATGGCACCAATCGACTCGCCAGCATCTAATCTTACTCTCCCAAGACTCATTTGACCTCTCAAGGTCATGCGATGACCTAAGGTCATTTGTGGGCTTTGTCGAAAATACACTTGCACAGCAGTTTTCGAGTAGATGGATTGACCGAATTCCAAATCAAAGCACATCATCGGGTAGCCCATAGGCCTTAGTAACTTTCCTTAAAAACCGCTTTTCGATATGTGACCCCGTTTGACCTCGGCAGGTCAAAATGTGCAAATAAACGAGACCCTATACGTCGCAGCCCGGATTCAGCCCAGATTCGGGCACCTCCGATCAAGCTGAAACTCGAACACAATGTAGGCCATGACATGCCCAATCCACAGTCCAAGTCATTTGGTGGCACTCCCAGCCGTTTGGCCTACAGAGGTCAGCAAAGGTCACGTGGCCCAAATTTGCACAGCAGATTGTGGCCCACCCAGTAGAGCTAGAGCGCTAAAAATGGCACCAATCGACTCGCCAGCATCTAATCTTACTTTCCCAACACTCATTTGACCTCTCAAGGTCATGCGATGACCTAAGGTCATTTGTGGGCTATGTCGAAAATACACTTGCACAGCAGTTTTCGAGTAGATGGATTGACCGAATTCCAAATCAAAGCACATCATCGGGTAGCCCATAGGCCTTAGTAACTTTCCTTAAAAACCGCTTTTCGATATGTGACCCCGTTTGACCTCGGCAGGTCAAAATGTGCAAATAAACGACACTCAATACGTCGCAGCCCGGATTCAGCCCAGATTCGGGACACCTCCGATCAAGCTGAAACTCGCACACAATGTAGGCCATGACATGCCCAATCCACAGTCCAAGTCATTCGGTGGCACTCCCAGCCGTTTGACCTACAGAGGTCAGCAAAGGTCACGTGGCCCAAATTTGCACAGCAGATTGTGGCCCACCCAGTAGAGCTAGAGCGCTAAAAACGGCACCAATCGACTCGCCAGCATCTAATCTTACTTTCCCAACACTCATTTGACCTCTCGAAGTCATGCGATGACCTAAGGTCATTTGTGGGCTATGTCGAAAATACACTTGCACAGCAGTTTTCGAGTAGATGGATTGACCAAATTCCAAATCAAAGCCCATAGGCCGTAGTAACTTTCCTTAAAAACCGCTTTTCGATATATGACCCCGTTTGACCTCGGCAGGTCAAAATGTGCAAATAAACGACACTCAATACGTCGAAGTCCGGATTCAGCCCAGATTCGGGCTGAATCCAGTCGTTTATTTGCACATTTTGACCTGCCGAGGTCAAACGGGGTCACATATCGAAAAGCGGTTTTTAAGGAAAGTTACTACGGCCTATGGGCTACCCGATGATGTGCTTTGATTTGGAATTCGGTCAATCCATCTACTCGAAAACTGCTGTGCAAGTGTATTTTCGACATAGCCCACAAATGACCTTAGGTCATCGCATGACCTTGAGAGGTCAAATGAGTGTTGGGAAAGTAAGATTAGATGCTGGCGAGTCGATTGGTGCCATTTTTAGCGCTCTTGCTCTACTGGGTGGGCCACAATATGCTGTGCAAATTTGGGCCACGTGACCTTTGCTGACCTCTGTAGGTCAAACGGCTGGGAGTGCCACCGAATGACTTGGACTGTGGATTGGGCATGTCATGGCCTACATTGTGTGCGAGTTTCAGCTTGATCGGAGGTGTCCCGAATCTGGGCTGAATCCGGGCTGCGACGTATTGAGTGTCGTTTATTTGCACATTTTGACCTGCCGAGGTCAAACGGGGTCACATATCGAAAAGCGGTTTTAAGGAAAGTTACTACGGCCTATGGGCTACCCGATGATGTGCTTTGATTTGGAATTCGGTCAATCCATCTACTCGAAAACTGCTGTGCAAGTGTATTTTCGACATAGCCCACAAATGACCTTAGGTCATCGCATGACCTTGAGAGGTCAAATGAGTGTTGGGAAAGTAAGATTAGATGCTGGCGATTCGATTGGTGCCATTTTAGCGCTCTAGCTCTACTGGGTGGGCCACAATCTACTGTGCAAATTTGGGCCACGTGACCTTTGCTGACCTCTGTAGGTCAAACGGCTGGGAGTGCCATCGAATGACTTGGACTGTGGATTGGGCATGTCATGGCCTACATTGTGTGCGAGTTTCAGCTTAATCGGAGGTGTCCCGAATCTGGGCTGAATCCGGGCTGAGACGTATTGAGTGTCGTTTATTTGCACATTTTGAGCTGCCGAGGTCAAACGGGGTCACATATTGAAAAGCGGTTTTTGAGGAAAGTTACTACGGCCTATGGGCTACCCGATGATGTGCTTTGATTTCGAATTTGGTCAATCCATCTACTCGAAAACTGCTGTGCAAGTGTATTTTCGACATAGCCCACAAATGACCTTAGGTCATCGCATGACTTCGAGAGGTCAAATGAGTGTTCGGAAAGTAACATTAGATGCTGGCGAGTCGATTGGTGCCGTTTTTAGCGCTCTAGCTCTACTGGGTGGGCCACAATCTGCTGTGCCAATTTGGGCCACGTGACCTTTGCTGACCTCTGTAGGTCAAACGGCTGGGAGTGCCACCGAATGACTTGGACTGTGGATTGGGCATGTCATGGCCTACATTGTGTGCGAGTTTCAGCTTGATCGGAGGTGTCCAGAATCTGGGCTGAATCCGGGCTGAGACGTATTGAGTGTCGTTTATTTGCACATTTTGACCTGCCGAGGTCAAACGGGGTCACATATCGAAAAGCAGTTTTTAAGGAAAGTTACTAAGGCGTATGGGCTACCCGATGATGTGCTTTGATTTGGAATTCGGTCAATCCATCTACTCGAAAACTGCTGTGCAAGTGTATTTTCGACATAGCCCACAAATGACCTTAGGTCATCGCATGACCTTGAGAGGTCAAATGAGTGTTGGGAAAGTAAGATTAGATGCTGGCGAGTCGATTGGTGCCATTTTTAGCGCTCTAGCTCTACTGGGTGGGCCACAAACTGCTGTGCAAATTTTGGCCACGTGACCTTTGCTGACCTCTGTAGGTCAAACGGCTGGGAGTGCCACCGATTGACTTGGACTGTGGATTGGGCATGTCATGGCCTACATTGTGTGCGATTTTCAGCTTGATCGGAGGTGTCCCGAATCTGGGCTGAATCCGGGCTGCGACGTATTGGGTGTCGTTTATTTGCACATTTTGACCTGCCGAGGTCAAACGGGGTCACATATCGAAAAGCGGTTTTTAAGGAAAGTTACTACGGCCTATGCGCTACCCGATGATGTGCTTTGATTTGGAATTCGGTCAATCCATCTACTCGAAAACTGCTGTGCAAGTGTATTTTCGACATAGCCCACAAATGACCTTAGGTCATCGCATGACCTTGAGAGGTCAAATGAGTGTTGGGAAAGTAAGATTGGATGCTGGCGAGTCGATTGGTGCCATTTTTTAGCGCTCTAGCTCTACTGGGTGGGCCACAATCTGCTGTGCAAATTTGGGCCACGTGACCTTTGCTGACCTCTGTAGGTCAAACGGCTGGGAGTGCCACCAAATGACTTGGACTGTGGATTGGGCATGTCATGGCCTACATTGTGTGCGAGTTTTAGCTTGATCGGAGGTGTCCCGAATCTGGGCTGAATCCGGGCTGCGACGTATTGGGTGTCGTTTATTTGCACATTTTGACCTGCCGAGGTCAAACGGGGTCACATATCGAAAAGCATTTTTTAAGGAAAGTTACTAAGGCGTATGGGCTACCCGATGATGTGCTTTGATTTGGAATTCGGTCAATCCATCTACTCGAAAACTGCTGTGCAAGTGTATTTTCGACATAGCCCACAAATGACCTTAGGTCATCGCATGACCTTGAGAGGTCAAATGAGTGTTAGAAAAGTAAGATTAGATGCTGGCGAGTCGATTGGTGCCATTTTTAGCGCTCTAGCTCTACTGGGTGGGCCACAATCTGCTGTGCAAATTGTGGCCACGTGACCTTTGCTGACCTCTGTAGGTCAAACGGCTGGGAGTGCCACCGAATGACTTGGACTGTGGATTGGGCATGCCATGGCCTACATTGTGTGCGAGTTTCAGCTTGATCAGAGGTGTCCCGAATCTGGGCTGAATCCGGGCTGAATCTGGGCTGAATATGGGCTGTCTTGATCAACATGGCTGCTGAAATATCGCGGCGGCGGCGCGCTCCGGTGACCTCTGGCGCCCCCTGGCGGCCGGCTGCGCTGCAGGAATGTTAATTGGTGACCGTGTGTGGCGCTCCGTGGCCCGGCCGGCTGACACGGCCGGGTCGGGGCACCGGATCGGGTTGAGCGGCCGCGGGTGGCGAGATCCAGCTTGACAGGATAGAGTGAGGACGTGTGGGGGCTTCAATCAGTCTGCACGCATGTGTAAAAATTAGGTGACTGGGTGTTGCATGTATATCAAACGCATGAATATTTTTCTACGGTTTGCAGCGGTATGCATGCAAAGACAATCCAGTGTCATCAGAGATCTACCCAAGTGTCAATGTTCTTTGCATGATTGTATCGACGCAGAATTAATTGATGCAATCAAACAATGGCTTTCTTGTAAAATGTCTTTACGCTTTCTTCAAATCAGTGATGTTATCAAATCCAACGTCATTTTATATCATTTTCTCTTTTTTTCAAACCGTTCAATTAAAATCTAATGAATTTCACCAAAGATTGCTGCAAATCTACAACAGTAGCACTGACCCCTGTACTGACCACCGTCTTCTTTCCGCAGAGCGCGAGTACCGGTGTCTGGGCACGTGGCACGAGGGGGACGTCATGTACACGTACACTCAGAGGCGAGACGTGCTGTCCTACGAGTGTTTCGCCGGCCGGGTTATGGATAATGGCCGCGTCTTCATCGGAGAAGCCGGTACCGACGAGAGCTGCCGCAGACGCATCGACCCCACACGGACCGGGATGCGCATCAACAGAATCGGTAAGGACGTCACCCCTCTCAAAAGAATGCAGTAGGACTTACCGCTGGACAAGTGATACAAATCGACAGAATTAATGAGACGCGTTTAGAGCTCAGATGAGGGATTGCGTTCTGCCTTACTGCAGCTGAAGTATTGCTAGATGCATGTTCACATTTCATCTGAAGTCTGTCCACATGCGTTCCGCGATGTTGACATTTCTGCATTCCTTTCTGGTTACGCATTCAACCTCTGCTAAGTTCCATCTTGAATGTGTCATCGCGAGGACAGCCGTCAGTCTGAATTAACCTAACCTTATCTCTCTCGGTCCACAGACACGTGCAACAGCGACATCAACACGTTGATCCCCACGACACCTCCTCCGCCGCCGCCGCCGAACCGACGCACCCGTCCTCCGACGGCGCCGACGCGTCGCCTGCCGCCGGCGCCCACCAAGGCGCGCACCACGCCGTGGCCAGTCACACAGCGGACCACCACGAGACCCTGGAAACCCATCACAGGTCAGTGGAGATCGGTGACGTCATCGGAGGATATTCGCGGTGTTAGAGCGGCGACGTCAGAGACAGAGAGGCTCAACGTCGGGGATGATGATTGATCTTAATGTTAATTAAAACGTCTTTTGGCTGAGATGATAAGTACAGTATCTCATTCTGTGATCATGTAGTGCGTGGAGGTAAAACTCTGGTTTATATGTTTGCTGGCGCTTTTCGCATGTTAACAACGGCAAACTTCTTTCATACGTATCAATTTCCAGGAAAATTTAAGCGCTGAGTCATTTATTCAAAGCTTGTAAGCATAAAACTCGTGTATAATCCCCAGGACGTCCCGGCTGACAATGTCCTGTTCTTTTCCAGCTCGACCGGGCCAGGGCAGCGGCAGCAGTGCTGTTCATGCGTCGCTCTCGACACTGGCGCTCGTCTTGGCGGCGGCGACGGCGCTGCTCAGGCTCTAGTCCCACCGGTTCGGTAGCGGTGCTGCGTTCTTCGTCCGAGCTTCGCCGAGTGGCCTGTGTCGGGTCAGGTCAGGGTGTCGGCCGCGCCGGGTGGGGTGTCTGGGAGGAGGACTTCAGTGGTGTGGTGCGAGAGGGCCGGACTGGTGACCGACCGCTCCTCCGGGGCCGGCCGGTCCGCAGTCCGAGACCCGCACAAGTCAACACTACGCTCAGCTGTGATATACATTGTAGGTGTTTGTGTGTACCCGCTGTGACGTGGTTCGATTTCGAATCGGTGTTCCTTACTGGCCTGTGGCCAGACTGTCTTCTCTGCCCTGTGTGCGTTCGACGTGCGCACTCGTGGCATGATTTGCTCATAGTGTGTACATACATTATATACTCATGTCGATTGCGAGACGACCTATGCGCTGGGCGAGCTCTTATATATATATATAATGGGGAGTCGATGCTATACTGACGGGTCTGCTCCGACGGGCTACTATTGTGCGATCATGTACAAACACTGCATGCTGCGCCTCATACGTGACTTGGTAATGTATTACACTATTGTGATTGTGATACCATGATGTAATAGTTTCTAGCCGTGTGTTGTTAGCTGATGTGTTATCGCGAAGCATAACTAAGACAGTCGTAATAAATATGGATGCTATTTATCTGATTGGTTTTTGTTTGTGGGTCTAGTTGTCATCGACTAATCTGAAACAATGTTTCAAAGCGGCTGATGGGCTAATTTAGCTGCGCTCGAATGCAGTCTAAGAAGCAATGCGGAACAGTCTACCAGTAAGGAGTAAATAGCAAACTGCACAGTTAGCCATCCGGACTACAAAAGTGCGAGGAGGCAAGACACACTCAATGCCGATGAATTAACTTATTAATTAGGTAGGAGACACCAAAACAAAACATCAATAAAATATTTAAAATGGGTATGCTTCTACAGGTTGTGTAACGTTAGACCAGTGAATTTAACATACTGGAACTTAATAAGCTTAATCGCTGACGTGAATAAGGTCGGGACGTTGCAAATTACTAAGAATAACACTACGGCTATATTTTTATAATTTAGACGGCGCTTATGTAGTCTTCTTACAGTTAACACAAATAGAAATACAAATGGTTACGTTTACAACGATATAGCCGCATTGTAAGTGAGCTTCCTCATCGCGCAAACAGATACACAGCTCGATGACTCGGGCTCGGGTTATGTTGTTGATTCTCGTGTACAGGCTAATGTAGCAATGTTTCGGCGACCCTTGAACTTAAGTGGTCTGGCGCCTAGTGGATTGTCTCGGTCTTATTTTTGACCTCATCTGCATTTGCGTCTGATCAGCTTGACATGAACACGCTAAACGCATTCAGACACTGAATAAAACCAAAGGCTGATCAGTGCTCACTGAGCGCTGAGGTGCAATCCTCAATCAATTAAATACTTAAAATAATTAACATGCATTATCATACATAGGTAAAAGTAGGTATGTCAGTTAAGCTGGCTTACTTCGCAGTGTTTATACTGAGCTGTGGTATTTGTGTGACTCAGAACCGGCGTCATAATTTAATGTCGTTCATTGTTGTCCGAATAAATCAATTGATTTTCCTTTTAACTAAAACATAGTGCACTTAACTTAAACAGTAACTTAACCCTATTCCTGGCGGGGGGGGGGGGGCCTCAGGAGCCCCCCCTGAGGTTTTTTGGTTATTTCTCCCAAACGCGTTGAGCTAGGAAGCTCAAATTTTCTGACTTTTCCTAAAAGGCTTCTACGCAACATGTCTGAAAATTTTGAGTTGATCTGACCTCAGGTCAGGTCACCAGAGGCGGTTTGGTGACCCTACCTCAGAAAAGTTTGCAATCACGCCAGAGCTAGAGTTTTTGACCGATCAATTTCTTCTCTTCAGGCTTTAGTTAGGGTACCAGTATGTGCAATTTGTATATCTCGGAATTTTGATATCGGTGACCTAAGGTCAGGTCAGTTTCGCGACCTCCCCATTATAAGTCAATGGGGGAAAAATCAACTCCCTGTTTTTACCACTAAAACGGGTCGGAATGGCCCCATATACCATACATGACTTCATATACGATCAACCTTCACTACCTTGAGGTCTGTTTTGCTGTTGGGCAGCTGTGAGGTCATGTGACGTCATCAAAGGTCACCAAAGGTTTTTGGCCAATAACTCCGTACAGGAACAAGATACAGACGCGTGGATGGTCTCATTGTGTTCAGCTCGTCAAGACGCATCGAATGATATACATGATGACCTCGAGGTCACGTGACCTGAGGTCAACCTTTGACCTTGACCTTGCAAGGTCAACATATATATCATTCGATGCGGATTGACGAGAGGATCACGATGATGCCCTTAGTTTGTTCCTATCTTGACTAATTCGAAAGTTATTCGAGAAAAACTCTCTCCATATCTAGCGCCGCCATTTTGACTTTTTCGACCCCTGTGACGTCATCTTTGACCTGACCTGAAAATGACCTTAGTAAAAATTGTAGATCTTGACCGTGCGTATCCGATGCCGTTTACCGTTTGTCGCTATCTTGCTTCGTTCTCGAGATCTCAGGGGGGGCCGAATCGGCCCCCCCCCCCCGCCAGTTTCTTGTCCCGGCGGAGCCCGCCAGGAATAGGGTTAAACAAGCCTTAGATGGATGTCGTCACTCGTATCTAGAACCATAAATAGTATGCCAAAATTAGTGAGCAATCAGCATACAGAACTGCAACCACAATGAGCCGCAAACAGTATCGAGCGGCGCCCGCTGTGACGATTCTATCTGCATCATGGTCCGTTGCTACTAATCAGGCGGGAGCAGCGGTGGCAATCACTGCTCACTGCTCACTGCTCACTGCCCACTGCTCACTGGTGTGAGAACAAGAGACGAGAGCGGGTGCTGGGCTGCTCCCCATCACACACCTCCGGAATCCACCTGAGGAGGGGCGCCGGGGGCTGGCCGCGCCGGATGTCGGGAGCTACCGACCGGCCCTGTGCGTGGACGGCGGTCCTCCATCATTTATCGCTGTTTTCGCTGAGGTGGCAGCGCGCGGCCCAGCCGCTCTCACGATCGACGGAGGCTCCCAGCGCGCCGGCAGAGGAAGCGGCGATTACAAACGGGTCATCGGCGGCCGGCGGCCGTGAGAACCAGAGGAGACCTCTCCGGCGAGCCTCGACAAGGGGGAATCGGACCCGTTCCCGAGATACCCCTTCGAGAGAGTGACCCCAGCTGCTAGAGACGAACCGAGCAAACCTTCGGTCTCCTCCACGGAAAAGGGAGTCAATGGGCGGCCAAGGCTTTACCATGATGTTCTTTGAGGCTCACCAACGTTGATAAAAAAAAACTTGACCAAAACCTACTTTTCAAGCTTGCGAGCCAATGTCGTCCACAATTTCCGCACCCTGTCCTATTGTTTTGAGTTTTTAGTGACTCTGACGCTTCAGATAGCTTGCAAAAGAAATACGTGACTCAGGGCATATTTTAAGGATTTTTCACTGCGTCCCAAAGGTGGCATAGGGCACACGCTTTGATCGGAAAGGGCACATTGCAAGCGAAATAGTATACAATGCAAGTGAGATAATGTACAGATACATTGTGTACTGTGCTGGTGCAGGGGCACTGCAAGCGGGATATTGGGAGCTGGCTGTGATTGCTTTTGGCCAGTCTCGAAATTCGCCCAGTCGAAGTGCGTTCTTTATACGCATTCAAAGGGCGGACCGGCGATTTAATGACATTTACATTGTTGTTAGTCACTCGCTTTCCTGAACGGCGTTGGGCGTGTTTGACCTCCCTTGACGCACCAAATTGTACCTATGCTTGGAGAATAAAAATGAATATGCACATGATTAAAATGTGATACATACGTCTCTTCATGCGTTTTTCACCCTTATCAATCGATTCAAAATAGAGGTTGACGTGTAAAACATTGCCAATTTGCATTGAAGATACTATGTGTTTGAAATAATTAGATGACGTAAGGTCAAACAGTACCCACCTAAGTTGTGACAAGAAATCATCGGGTTTAAAGCTACATAAAAAATCCATCATAGATTAATGCTTTGGATGAACGGATGCTTTGGATGCTTCGGATTTCGCTTCCTTACTGCCTATCATGTAATATAACCCAAACTTTTCCCAATGGAAGTTCCTTTGTTTAATTATTATGCCCAGAAATGTGTCGATTTTGTGCCATTTCCGGGCGCTTGGGTGGGGGGGGGGGGAGCATGGCCCCGTGGCCCCCTCTATATCCTCCTATGGCCAGACGGCCATGACGGCCCTGATCTGACCGTATGCCATCAAATGTCAAACTTCGCAAGGATGCGATATTTTTTCGGAAAACGTGCCGGTATCTCAAAAACTATGATAGCTAGGAGGGCGCAATCGATATATCTTGAACAGCTCTTTCGTCAATATTTCGTCAGAATTGAGTTCAGATCAACGGTTAAGGCTCCATAGCCAAAAACGGGTAAAATTACAATCTTTGTCAATATAGGTTTCATGAAAAGCTTTTGAACTAAAAAAAGGTAGAGAATTTTCGTTTGCACGATCGTTCTTCTCTCATTTCTACCTCGAAATGTCAAGGCCAGAACTTGACCTCACATTAAGGTTATTTCGTGACCAAGATCATGTCGAATATCAGTCGATGCGTTTCGATGAGGTACCTCAAAACAATGATACAATCCACTGTGCATGCAAAAGCCATGTAGGGCCGGATTTTGGGCCAGGCTCCGGGCCTGCGGGCTCCAACTTGACATCTCTAAACAGGACTTTAGGGAAGGGCAGGACACAGAGTCTGAGCCCTAAGGACAGGGCAGGCACAGGCCATGAAGCTAAGATAAGACGGATACTTGAGGGCTGGGTAGGATGCAAGGTCCGAGGGCAAGGCAAGGCGCGGGTCTGAGGCTATCATTACACAAGGCCGGAGAGTAGTGCAAGACACAGGGCCTTAGAACACCTGATGATCAACACACCTGATGGCAGGGCAACACGCAGGATCTTGGGCAAGAAATAGTACCTAAAGGTAGAGCAAGACATAAGACACAGGTATGGCACAAGGCCCGAAACACCGCCCACGTCTTGTCATACCTTCGGGCCCCGAAGGTATGACAAGACGTGGGCGGTGTTTCACGGACGCTGCTATCAAATTCCGCGAGCTGACGTCATACTTGTGGTAGTGTTTGAGCAATGGGCCTGTTGATGTCTCCATGGAAACCCAATTTGACACGTGTAATAGCAGCGTGCTGCTATCACCGGTGAAACAGGGCCAGGGTATGGGGCCTGAGGGCAGGGCAAGGCTCAGGGCATGAAGACAGAACAAAGCACGGGTTCTGAGGACAGGTAAGGGCACGGGGCATGAGGACGGGAAACGGCACGGGACCTGAGGGCGGGAGACACCACAGGGCCTGATGACAGGGCAGGGCACAGCACCTGAGAGCGGGCATGGGACACGAGACCTTAGGGCAATGCAGAATACAGGGCTTGAGGGCAGAGTAGGACACAGGGTCTGGTGGCATGGGACGGCACAAGGCCTGACGACAGGGCAGAGCACAACAACTTAGGGCGAGGCAGGGCACGGGCTGAGGGCGATACAACGCATAAGGCTTAATGGCAGAATAGGGCACAGGGTCTAAGGGCAGGGCAATGCACATGAGGTCTGGAAGCAGAAC